CTTCCGATCTCCCAGCATCAACGTACATGTTCGAGAGCAGGACATAACATCCCGTGTTGTCGTGGTCCAGCAAAAATATCTGTTCTGCTGCAAATTCAGCCATGGCTATGTCGTCGTGGTTCCTGCTCGCGTTTAACAAAGAACCCCAAATCCGAGCTGTAGGTGAAATCGGCATTTCTTCGATGAAACGCTTGGCAAAGCCGAGATTCCCAGAACGGCCAACGAGATCGAGCATATACACGTAATGTTCGATACCAGGATCGATCCCGTATTCTCTTTTCATCGAATTGAAATATTCCCATCCTTCATCTATCATGCCAGATATGCTGCAAGCTGCTAATACGGAAGCAAAGGTGCTCTTGTTTGGATTTACGCCACTCGTCGTAATCATCTTGGAGAATAAATCAATGGAAATTCTTCCGAACCCATGAACTGCATAAGCCATGATGATGCTGTTCCATGATACAACGTCCTTCAACATGATAGAATCGAAACATTTCCTCGCATTCTCAAGGTCTCCGCCCATCGCGTACATGTGAACAAGTGAGTTCGAGATGATCGTATTCCGGCAAAATCCCGATTTTACGATACAACCATGAAGCTGTTTCCACCCACCAAGAGAGCCCGAATCAACATAGGCCGGTAGGATTGTAGCGAATGTGGTCGAATCAGGTTCAAGAGGCGATCCCCAAAGTTCTAGAAACGATTCCAAGGCTGCGAAATTCTTCCCGTTCCGCACATAAGCAGCGATGAACGAGTTCCACGAGACCAAATTCTTCTCAATCATTCGAGCAAATATAACCTCGGCAGATTCCAAATTTCCGCATTCTCCATACATATCAATCAAAGCACTTTCCAACACTAAATGAGGAAGAAATCCTCTCCGAATGGCGTAACCATGAACTGACTTACCCTCCAAGAGAGCACAAACAGGAAGAAGCTGTATCAATGTAACATCATCAGGATCCAACCCTTCTTCCTCAGACATTTTACTCAAGCAGAGAAAAGCATCGACGTCTCGACCATTTTGAGCATAACATCCTACCATGACATTCCACGCTACGATGTTTCGTTGCATCGTATCGTTAAATATCCTCTCTACATAACCCACTTCCCCACATTTACTGTACATGTCGAGAATCGATGTTTTCACCATGATGTCATCCATATCAATGGCATTTCGCATCACTTGGCAATGTATTTCCTTTCCAAGTTTCAGACAATACAGTAGAGAACAAGCTCCTATAGCGCTTATGATACTAAACCTGTCCGGTTGAAGTCCAACATCCAACATTTCTCTAAACATCATCAATGACCTCAAGCCATCTCCATGGACAAGATACCCACTAAGCATAGAATTCCAAGACACAGTGTCTCTCTCAGGCATTTCCTCGAACACTTTCTCTGCTGCCCAGTTGCAACCGAGCTTCATGTACAAAGAGATAAGAGAATTACAGATATAAACATCTGAGTCAAACCCAAGTTTGATCATCTTACCATGAACCTTCTCCCCTTCATCCAACGACGACATTCCGGCAAACGACTTGATCACAAAAGGGTAAGTGAAGGAATCGGCTTGGATTCCTGCAAACACCATTCTCCGATAAAATTCAACCGATTCTTGATACAACCCACAATTCGCAAAACCCCTGATCATCACGTTCCACGCAAAGGGATCACCTTTGTTCATTTCGTCGAACAGGTGGAGAGCGTCGGAATCGGCGAAAGCGAGTAGAGAGCGCGTGAGCGCAGGATCATTCGCTTTACGTGGCTTCGACTGGTTCCGATGGATCATCCGAGCTAGTTTTCGTGGCTCGATTACAATATCTGGGTTCCGATTTCCGTTCCCTTTCCGGTTATTCTCGGAGGAAACACGCCGGCACGCGTTGGAATTGCAGATACGGAGGTGATGAACTTGCAGAATTGCTGCCGCCATAGCTCGTGGATTAGCACCGGAAACTGGGATCCAAAGGAGTTCGTGATCGAAGATAAGGAGCAAGATTCAATCTCTTTCTCTTCGTAACCATTTTCTTCTTCACTCTAAAAACTGCAGGCGACGAGTAGTGACAACAGACGAACTTATCTTCTCAGACCCATGATTTGATGATTCGCCCAAACTGATAATATAAACTAAATTTCATATATTTCCAGTAAAAATGGAACCTTTTACAACGAACTAGTGAAAATGACGAGAATTCATCGAACAAAGAGACTTCAAATCTGATGAGTTCCAATCCAAAACCCATCAGACAAAAACACACATTGCATTTGCATGTTCGGACAATGCAAAAAAAAAAAAGACAAAAAACAAATATTCAAAACTCTTCGGGAATACTTCTTAACGCTGGAGCCCAAGAGATTCCCTTCTTCTTCTTCCCCGCATCGTTCTTCGCATTGTGCTTCCTTCGCAGCTGTTTCAGCCTTTGCTCGACCAATGACGGCAACGAAACATCGTCGTATCCATCATCACCACCACCATGACCATGCATGATGAGCTTCTCGAGCTCACTCTTCTTAACGACAATTCTGATCCTGATGACTCCATTGTTGTCTTTGGTCGACTGTTCACAAACCAAACCTTGTCTCTTCGCCATCTCCAGTGCTCCCATCGTCACATTGATATTGCCTTGTCTCTTGATCCTTTGATCCTTCACCAGATTATTCTTCGACCGGAATATTCCTCTTCTTGGTGGTGACATTAATATTAATGCCCTTTTTAGCTCCATTAATTAAGATTCTAACGTGCTTTTCAATGTCTTCAATTCTCTGTGTCCTTGCAATGGTTCTGGAGCACGTAATAATACGTGTGCGTATGTATATATATACACATACATGCAAACAATCGGATCTCAACGCGGTCCAATGATTATGCAATCATATTGGTTATTCGTTAATCATTTGGGTTTAAGATACAACTTGGTGATCTGATCTGGCTGAGCTTTGACTTTCTAAAAGGTATTTGACCTTTTTTTTATCAATAAGTATTTATTTTGCCTTGGATATTCTTGGCATGCCATATATACACACTATTATTATTATTATTATTAAAAAACAAATTAGAGTACACCCGATGAAGGTGACGTGTCAACTTCGAATCTGATGAGTTGGCTTATCAAATGATTGGCATGTTGTTTTATTTGGTCAGACATAAATTAGATTATTACCATTATTAGGCATCGTTACTTGTAAATGCGATGTAACCCTACCGATATTAAAGAGTTTTCATGTCCGGAGTCCGACCGGTTCAAACAAATGTCCGAAGTCCGACCAAGATTTCGGAAAGAAGAAAAAAAACACATTTTATGTGGGTTCGTATCGTTATTCAGGTTTTACGTATAACCATATATATATATATATATATATATATATATATATATGCCAAATAAAATACCAAATAAAAACGGATCGAACGAGTCAACTTCGCGACGAGTCCGAACCCATCCGGAATAGCTCAGTCGGCTCACAAATCGGCTCGGGAGGGGGCATTAAAAATATATTAGGATTTCATACTTTAATTTCTTCACTTTTTCTGTTTATATAACAAATTATAATTCATGATATGTTGATATTGCTCTATATATTTTTTGTTATATTTAGATGTTGGTGTATTACACTTTTTATGTTGGTTTTTGGTTTTGTTAATTTTTTTTTATTTAGATATAGTTTTATAAATAGTTATATTAAATATTTTATGTTATGTTGAATGACTTTAAAATATTGTTATGTAGATTTTAAATTATTAATTTTTATGTAATTTTAAAATTTTTTCAGATATTTAGATAAAAACGGGTTGGTTCGCGAAGCGATTCGAAGTTCAGACAATTTGATCTGGGTTTTAGCTCGTAAAAAAATGGATCGAACGAGCTGAGCCAAAAATAGCCCCGTTTTGCATCACTACACACACATTCTACACGACACATGATGCAATTCCAATGTATTGTGCAAGTGGATTAGTGTTGTAATATACGCATACAAAAATACGGCGTTTCATCAAAAGAAGCCAAGGCGGGCATTAGAAAGAGGCTTTCAACATATGATTAACTGCTGAGAACAAAAGGGGTTTATAGCTGCTACACAGAGAGAGTGAAGAAAAATATATACAAATGCTCTACTGAGTTTGGTGTAGAGAGACTCAGAGAGAGAGAGAGACCTAAGAGAATGGGTCATGGTGACTGGCGCCATCATCATCATCATCATCATCATCATCATCATCATCAGATGCATGGTCACGGCTCTGAGCGTTGAAGGCGAGAATGAGGTCGAGAAGTTCCCTACCGGCCGCAGCTGAAGATTCGCCATTTCTCTCGGGACTGCTGCTTTGATTATGCAGTGAGAAGAGTTGTAGCAACAGTTCCTGTGGCGAAGACATTCTGTACATCCAGCCCCTAGGCTTTGGTTTCCGCTGGAACACAAGAATCAAGCATCATCATTAGCATCGTCATCATCATCATCATCATCATCGTCATCATCATGATGGTCATCGTGATAATTGCCACTAACACTACCGACATTCTCCTTGCTACCAGTATCCCCACTATCTTTATTGTTATCATTCTCAATACAAGTTTCATCATCATCATCTTTGACTTCAATACCGCTGTCCACACTCTCATAATCATCATCCATATCATCATCATCTTCAGAATCGCCATTATCATCCATATCATCGTCAGAATCATCATCAAGGCCACATGCATTGTCAGTATCATCGTCCTCCTCCTCATCATCATCAACAGATTCCTCATCATCCTCAATCTCATCAAAACCGCCGATGATTTCGTTACCAAACAAATCGTCGTAAAATAAATAATCTTCCAAATCATGGAAGCTAGCAAAGGATAACCAAGGAATGCGAAAGCGACTCGGTAACCGGACCTTCTTCAAACAACAAGAGCAACAAATATTAGTTTCTCTTCATTTATGATATATCACACAATCTTTAGTATGGAAACTCTATCAATCACTATGTGACACAATGTGAAAAAACTCATAGATATTGTGGATGCTTAACCCTATAATGAAACACGAGCCGAGGGATAAAGGGTAAGATCTTAGCTTTGAGATAAGCAACAATATATTAGACCCACTAGATTCAAACATCGGTTAACATGATAAAGGATAATACAAAATGCAGCTAAAACTCTATGTCAAGGGCACGAAATTTCCCTACTATAATTCTGGTTTCATAGATTTGGACAGAATATTGTCACGTAAGAACCTTGCTATTTCACGAGCCAAACAAGTTTCTAACATGATTAAAGAGGTATTAAAAGCTTAATGAAACATTACCTGCTCGATGTTTTTAGGCAATGTGGCTCTCTCAGTCGCCTTTGGTGTCCACACCTTGATATCACTCTCAATTCCACTGCTTGCAAGCACCGGTATGTGAGGATGAGGCTCGATACAATTAACGACATCCCTATCGGCTTCCATAACTCGTATTAGCTCTCCTCCTTTTTTCTTCCAAATAAAAATCCGACCACAGTCCGAACCACTGACCACATATTCACACCGTGGTCCAAAAAAGTTCACACCTTTAACCGTCTCACAGTTCCTGTGCCCCTTGTAAACTTGAGGAACCGAATGTTTGCTTTCATCTTCGGAGGAAACTGATCCTGCTTTTGGCTGGTCACTATCCATATCAGCTGAATCACTACTCTCGGACGTTGGGTCAGGCCCTAGACCCATATCGGGAGTGAAAAGATAGATGAACTCGTCGTTAAATGAAACAAGGAGTTCACTTTGATCTGAGAAAGCCAAGCCCGTTATCCCAACCTGGTCATTGCCGATCAAATGAGGCGGGCAAAAGTAATCTATAGCTCGGCCAAAGTTGCTTGAGCCGTCTCCCTTGTACCTGCGGATATCGAAAAGGCGAGCATATTCGTCCATTCCAGCAACCGCAAAGAGGTGAGGATTCCTAGGGTCAATCGTGATTGCATTTAGCTGGACAGCTTCCATGAATCTCCTCCTATGATCAACTGGTTGGCACATCAAAAGTTGTGTAGCAGCTCCAGTCCTCAGATCAAACTAAAACAATTCAACAGCGTTACACGAATACTTAACCCAATGAAAGAAATTTTTAACATTTTAGACGACAAGAGAGAGAATGTAAGCAGGCACTCACGTGTTGGACCAAACCATCTTCCCCGCAGGTATAAAACACATGGGAGCTTCCTGGCTCAATAGCTAGTTTATGAGCTCGGCCTTGATGTATCCCCAACAAAGAAGTCTCCACTTTCCCATTCTCTAGAATCTTTGCATGCCGAACCTAAAGATAGTTTGAAGATTGTCGTTGAGAGAGAACGGATGGAAGTCCAGAAGGAATCTAACCAAAGTGAATGAACATAACAAGATAATATGATATGTATTCGAGTTCGGCGAAATCAAATTTGCTACTTGATCAACAAACATACACATTGTTCATCATAACAAAATCATTGTAGACATGAGAGCAAGCAAGTGCATTACACCATGAACAGATGTTAAACAAAGTGTTACCTCTCCATCTGCAGCACAGGTTACGATGCTCCGATCGTCGGAGAAAGGCATAAACTTGGCCTGGAATACATTATTAGAGTGTCCTGAATGGAAAGAAAGCTCGACATTGCCAACCTCCCAGTTCCAGAGAATGACACGACGATCATCAGAACCGGAAATCAGAATGTCGCCATCGGCATTGAAGCCCACAGTGTTCACACACTCTCTATGCTTCTGAAGCTTCTTGTATATCTCTAGACGCAGAACCAGGTTCTACAGTGACAGCATCGAAAATGGTCTTAGCGATTCATCGTAGCAATTCCGAAAATTGATACAACGATTGAATAGACAAAAGGATCGGACGATAGAAACTGCACCGATGGGGTTCACAAAAGATTCAAAATTTCGAACACAGAAAACGGATCAAAGGAAAACCCATGAGAAAGACGAACAAGAGACGATTACAAAACCTCGGAAGCAGCGAAACGGTCGGCGAAACTCCGTGATGAAATCGTCCCAACCTCTCGTCTCCAGAAATCGACAACGGGGTGATGATCGAGGCTCGTTCGAGCCCTTTTCGCCTTCCCGTTCATCTCGTCAAAATCAACAAAGAACAAAAAAGGAATCGAATTCAAGCAAAATTCACAACGACGGCGAAGGAGGCTAGGTCAGAGAGAATCTATAGCTTCGCCACTCTCTCTCTCTCTCCCGGGAAGATTCTACAGAGGGGATAGTTTTAGAAGTTTACACGTAAAGAGGTGGTGCTAATGTGCCCCGTCGTCGGACGAGGAGCTCATTTAGCAGGTCCAATAGAAGCGTGACACGTATAATTAGGTCTTGATTAAGGGGCAATTCGGTAATCTCTATATAAAAAACTTTTTTTTTATTCATTAAACATCAGCAAGAGACGGAGAATCAGCGTCCAGTAAGTGAGGATTCCGTCCAACTCGATCCCCTTGCCTTAACGATATTCCGACTCTCCATCACTTTCCTAACAGCAGAAGCTTCATCCCACATTCCCATGTCCGCATACATATTGTAAAGCAACACGTACGGCGTCGAGCTCTCTGGTTCGAGCCTCATCAGCTCCTCGGCCGCAACACGAGCCAGCCCGACATTGTTATGCACTCTGCAACCTCCCAACAAAGCCCCCCAGACCGCTCTGTCTGGCGCCAAATGCATGGTCCTTATCACTTCCATGGCTTCCTCCACTTGCCCATCCCGACTTATCACGTCCACCAGAGCTGCGTAATGCTCAATCCTCGGTTCTATGTTGAATTCACCCACCATTGATTTGAACTGTGTTTTAGCTTCTTCGACCAGTCCTGCGTGTACACAAGCACTCAGAACCGAGATGAATGTGATGTAAGTGGGCTGTATCTTGCAGTTCTTCATCGTCCGGAACATGGTCAGGGCTTCCTCGGCGTATCCATGAGAGGCGTATCCTCTGATCATCGCATTCCAGGTGATGACTTCTCTTCTGGGTTTCGTCTCATTAAAGATTCTCCTCGCATCGTTTATGGCACCGCAGGCTGAATACATTGTGATAAGGGCATTGGTTATCGGCATGTCCGGGATTACAGTCTTGATGATGACTTGGTGAATCTGCATTCCTAGCTGTGGATTCACTAGCCCGGTTGATATGCTGAGAAGGGAGGATAGAGTATGGCGATCAGGTTTTTCCCCTTCTGATTTCATCCAGATGAACATCTCGGCAGCTCCTTTGTAATCTTCGTTTTTCTGATAGGCTGCAATGATCGAATTCCACGAGACGATGCTTTTCTGAGGCGTTCTGTCGAAGTAGTGACGGGAGAGATCTAGATTGCCAACATTAGCATAGCCCGAGACAATCGTGTTCCACGAGAATGTATCGTGTTTTGGCATTTCGTAGAACAGATCAAGAGCTTCTTTCATCTTGGATGCCCGAACATAACCATCGATCATTGTGTTCCAAGAAATGATATCCCGTTCTGTCATCTGATCGAACAGCTCTCGTGCAGAAACCACGTCGCCTGCCTTCACGTATGACATAATCATCGAGTTCCATGACACGAGATTCCTTCGAAACTTCCCCTTGATTTGTCCTACACGATCAAGACGGAGATCGTCAGGTATCTGATCAAAGATCCGTCGAGCTGCTTCTGCATTCCCCTTCTGTCCATACCCTGAGATCAAAGTATTATAAGCATACACCAAATCTTCCATTTCAGCGTCTTTTCTCCCATACTCGGCCAAAATCCTCGCTGCTTCGTCCAATTTCTCGTTCTGAATAAGACCTGACACGAGTGCGCAAAGAGAAGCCGAGTTCCTTTCGGGCAATCTCTCGAAAAACTCGATGGCATGACCCACGTTACCGTTCTGGCAGAACCCGGTGATCATGGCGTTCCACGACACAGCATTTCGTTCGGGCATCTTGTTGAACAGCCACACGGCTTCTTCCATCCTCCCATGCTTTGCATACCCACTGATCATCGTGTTCCAAGAAATGCAATCTCGGACAGGCATTGCATCGAACAAGCTTCTTGCTTCCTCGAGAAATCTAGCCCCACTGCATGATACATAACCCGAAATCATCGTGTTCCATGAGACGACATCTCTTTCAGGCATTTCGTCGAACAGCCTCCGTGCCTGAGCCATTTCTCTTCGTTTCACATATCCACTTATCATTGTATTCCATGTCACTGTGTTCCTCTCCTCCATTTCGTTGAAGATTTCTCTCGCTCTGCAGATATTTCCTGATCTTATCATATGGGTTATCTCCCTGTTCGTCGCTAAAAACCCCATCCTTGAAGAAGAAGAAGAAGAAAAGGAAACGAAGCAAGTTTTTGCCCATAAGCATTTTGATACCTCCGGTGGAAGCAGACGAAGACGACAACACCATCGATGCACATGCCTAAGCATCAACACGACACCATTTGATCGGCTCATCGCCGTCGGCGAAGATCAAAGAAGAAGAAGAAGAAACGAGATGCAACCGTTTTCACATCATCCTAACGATAAAGCTTCCTCTCCTCCTTTTTACCAAAAAAAAAACTTCCTCCTTTTTGTAGCCACAAAGCGCAGTATCAGATGACAAAGCAGAGGCGGAAGCAGTTTGCGGCGGTTACTTTTTTATCTGATGCAGTCGCAATGACGGAGCCACCGCGACGTCCACCGGCGGCAAGGACTACAGTTCGAGGTCTGGTGCAAGATTACCGGAACAATACCGCCGGTTTACCTCGTCTCTATTGTCCCCTGCCGTTGCCGGAGACTCGTCAGCGATCAATCGCCATGCCCGGAAGTTCGTCGCTGCGTAGCCGAGCCGAAATCAGTGACGCTCAGTGTTACTTTCTCCTCCCAAGTCTCATCCCCATCTTTCCTTCTATTGCATAGCTCTCACGGTGAGTCTCTCTCTGTTCTTTCGCGTATAAATATTTTCTTAGTTTGGTATTGTTTGTTTCTCGAGAAAATACAGGATATATGCGTATATGAGATTTGATTCTTTTCTTGTTCCTCAAGCATATTCACATTCTATCTTCAGTTATACTCAGAGATTATCTAAAGCATCATGGCTTGATTGGAACCCAAGCTTGTTGCTGATCTTTTCCCTCCGGAAACAATTTGCTGAATCAAGAACATGCTTTCTGTAGTAAACAGAATGGAAGCCGAAGGTCATGAAATCGACAAAATCTGTTCTATTATGGTTCTTTCTTCCTATGACTGAAATGGGTTCCTGGTTACAGACATTGAAAGGTTTGGATTGGATCTTCCTTCTTCCACAATGACATATATATCGTCTTGAATTCTTGTCCTACGATAATGCCCCTACTGAAACACTTTTGATAGCTAAGACCTAAGATTAAGGTTACCTGTTACAAAATTGTGTGACTGCCTATTTGCTCTGTCGAGTTCAGGCAGGGGGGGTCTGTTGCCAGCCAGGAGGAACTCTGTTTGAGACAACCGTTGGCATAGTTTTGACATTGATGTCGAGGGGATGAAGCCTGTACTCAATGTCGAGCTCTACGACGATCTTGATAAGTTCCTCCACCAAGACTTGTCGCCTTGTCCATCTCTCGCCCATGTCCTGGTGATTGATCTTGTGACATGGCCATATCGCGATCCTCACTGTCTTCAAGTCTTCAACGTCTTTCACCACGATTTTGGCTGATGGGTACCAATGCTCTGGATTGTTATCAATGTAACTGCAATGCCAAATAGTTTTTACCAGTGATTAGCGTATCCGTGTAATACGAGTGGAGTTGTATGCATATGTGCTCGTATTTACTTTGATATTCTCTGTCTGATAGCGGCAATCTTTTCGGCAGGAGTAGCAATGTGGACGCAGAATTCGATCGAGTCTCCCATGTCGGGGCTTCGGTAGTAATTGCTGATTGCTCTCTGCCAGAGAACGCTGTTCGGATACAGAATCTTCAGATTGTCATACCTCAAGAACAGAGTTGTCAAAATGTTCATCTCCTCTACCACCATCTGTCCATAAGCAAGTACAGCCTCGTTAGCCTAAAAGCTTCAGAGGTATTTTCTATTTGTGGGTACACATAAAGGCAATTCCTTTTACCTGTATCCCGTCTATCTCGCACCGGTCACCGACATCGTAAGGATGAACTATGAACAAGAAGATGATGGATTCGAAGATAGTTTTCACGGTGTTACCGAATATGAAGGTCAATACTACGACTTGCGAGCTTAGGAAGAGCAGGAATCTGGAGGAGGCGATTTCGAGAAGGATTAGACATATGACTGATATGGCAATGATGGCGAGAATGTTAACCATCTGATGAAGCTTGTTCACCGCTGTCTTTGTGTCGTTCAGTGTCAGGGCAAGAGCTCTTCTCTCTCTGAAAGCATTTACCTAAAGCAAGAATCAACCATGGAGTGAGATATATATACGCACACACACAAAAGCGGAAAGAAGATTTTGTGTTTCTTTGAAGAAGATCAAGGTGGAAGAATCACCAGCCAATTCTTTAAAGCCGATTTGCTAATCCTTCTGGTCTCGGATGCACCTTCGAAGAGGCTCATTGTCTTCACGGCCTCATCTTCACGCAAGAATCTCATCAAATCGTCCAGGTAAATATGCCTTTTTTCCAATTCAGAAAGTGTATGAATGATCAGTGGAAATGATGAACTGTAAGAACAAGGAAACGCATATGGTTAGACACTCACTTCAATCCACTTCGAGCCACGTTCTTGTAAATCTTCCTTGCTGCTGCTTTAGCTTCTTTCTCGTTCCGTATCTGCCTAGTGTAATCGTCTTCGTAAGAATTGTCGATCACCTGTTCGTCCAAAGTAGTCAGGGAAACCTTCCTCACGATCTTCATCAGCCTCTTCATGTTCCATGCTGAAACGTTCTTGTGATTCATCTTATGCAGGTGATCCATGGTGATCCCGTTATCAGTTGCAGTCTTCGAGATCATCGGCGAAAGCTTAGGGTTTACGAACATTGTCCTCCCGCTTTTCCCTGGCGGGAATGCAGCTGCACAGAGATCCGGCGGCAAATTGGCTCCAGCGTTCTGCATCTTATACATCTCTTCTTGTGCCCGTTCTTCTTCTTCCTCGATTCTACTCATCTCCACCATTGGAGGACCTGACAGCGTCTCGATCACGTACTGGTTGAACAGAGCTTCCTGAATTCTGTCGAAGTATGTGCTTACATGGAAGGAGGAGGCGAGAACTTTCACGACCAGGATCTTGATCAACCACAACAAGTTTCCGACCAGGAAGCACACTAAGACCTTGGTCACGTAGGGGAGGACCATGCTCTTGGTTTCGCGTTGAACTTTCTTGTCGAACAAGAAATGCCAAGTGAGAAGGACGAGCCCTAGCCAGATGCAGTTCCGGACGCCTTTCCGCAGTCCGTACACAAAGTACAGAACCCTCTTCCTCAGGAGGAAGTTTCTCTCGATGAAGAAGACGGCGATATGGATTCCCCAACCGGAAACCAGCCTCCCACATATGAGAACCAGCAAGAAAACCTCCCATTTCCAGAGGTGAAGGTTCCATAGAGCAACCTTCTTCCATGAACGGATCGATAAGCTACAAGCTAATGCAGCTACAATGGTGACCAAGCTCATCCATTCCAGCAACGTCAACGCATCGAGCTTCCTCTTCTTGTACTCCTCAGGAACATCCTCGTCCGCTAATGGGTCGTCCTCTTCGTCTTCCGTAGTTTTTCCTAGGTACCCGGATCTGAGCTGGTCGGATCTCCCTATCCAACCTGAATACCTCTGTTCTTCCTGCGGTGGATCCTGCAGTCTGGATCTTGTCTTAACCCTAGACAGTAGCTCCGATTTCCTCTGAAACGACATGTTCGGCGTGCACCTCACGACCTCATCCTGATCCTCCCTCTGCTCCATGTTGTTCGTCCGCATCGTGGCGGAGGAAGCCGAAGACGAAGAAGACGAATCCGAGCCTTCCAAATTCATCCCCCACCTCTGAACACCGAACGACACACGCAACTCCCTCGACGCGTTGTCGGGCCCCTGAGCCATGGAGCTCCTCGCCGTCGACGGAGCCGCGGCCGACGCCGACGCAGACTGAATTCTTGTCC